AGTCACACACACTTCCTCACTAATAATTTACATTATAAAAACAGTTTCTAGGGTTATCCCTTGCTTCAGAAATGCTTTCTTCTTCCTATATGTATTTTACTTGATTTCTTTTTTTCCAAATAGCTGCCCAGCCTCAGCAGTGGGGTAGAAAAGCGTGTCCCAGGTTAGGAATAGGAGTAATGGCAGGGCTGGGGGTCATGTGTTGGGAAGCAATTGGAAAAAGTAGCAGGAAGAAAACATTAATAATTTTATCAAAATGGTAAATTATAAACAAAGTAAACAAACAAACAAAAATAAAAGCAACAGCAAAAGAAATAAAAAAAAAAACAAAACTGAAACAAAAAAAATAGAGGAAAAATTTCCAAAATCTGAGTATTTCTTTCTGAACAGTCTGAACTGACTATTCATTCACATGGATAGGGCAGCTAGGCCGTGACTTTCTGTTCTGCCTTTACCTAGAGAAGGCTCCTTGCCTGGACCAGCAGGCATGGGCTGTTTCTGAGGATGCTGCAATCCCCACAGCAGCTGGCAGGGTGGAACCGCTTCTTCCTGCGGTTTCCCTCTAGTGTAACTTTCCCATAAAGCGGAGAGCTGCTGTTGCTTGCAAACTTGCATCTACTTAGTCTTTTGTTATGAAGATCCTCTTGCACTTGTAATCGCTTTGAAGCACGGCTGAGGTTTCGGTGGCTGCCATGCCGTCCCTTTGTCACGGCCAGCTCAGCCCTGCTGGCAGCGGGCTCCGCTCGGGGGCTCAGCTCCTGCCCTGCCGCCCCAGGCGGCCCAGCACAAGCTGGCTCTGAAAGGGAGATGGTACACGCAATCCTCAGCTACATCTTTCCCATTTAAAGTCACTTAAATGCCAGAAAGAGCATTTCAGGCGTATGTTCAGGGAATTGACAGAATCAGGGGTTTGTAAGAACTTTTGTCCCGTTGTATTTAAAACCTGAGAAGAGGCGTGATGCGAAGAGGAGCGAGATGCCTGCTGCTGAGCTCCAGAGGCTTCTTTGTGCTGAATCATCGGGGCTAAAAAGAGCTCGGGCTCTCCTGCTGAGTGGCCAGTGACTGCTGGCGGACCCCACTGAGACAGCTTTTGTTAGCCAGGGTCAGCTGCAGCGTGAGGTGTCTCGGTCCTTTCACTACAAAACAAGCTGCAAAAGGCACTGAGGGATGAATTCCGGTTTTCGTCTCTTGCTCTGCCGTGGAGTTTTCCACTGGAAGCTGCAGTTGTTTGGCTCTAATCCAGGGCCAGAGGGCAAGTCAGTATGGGAGCAGCATGGATTTAGTGCGAGTACATGATGTAGCATTTGCAGGGTGTTTGTGGAAGAGATGGGAGGATTCTGCATCTCTGAAGTCAATACTCAGATATGACTTTTTATTACCTTGATGACAGGAGAAACTAACTGCGAGATATGTTCATCCCAAAAAAGTAACCTCCCAATAAAGCAACCATCTTCCTCTCAACATGCTCAGGCAGCCCTTACTGTCGTAGGCTTCCCACTTTGCTATAACTTAGTCATGCCTCAGAAAGCTTTGTGCAAGGGCAGGTTTTATTGGAATGGAGCAGTTCAATAGCCTGTTTTCATCTGTGCCTGCAAGACCAGGCTTCCTTGAATCCCTTGAATACTACAGCAATCCAAACAAACCAAAAGCCCACCAAAAGAAAAAAATAAAAAACAAAACCAAAAAACCTCAAACAAACAAAACAAAAACACCAAAAAAAAAGCTTCAATACCCTCACATTTCCTTCACTTGAGTGAAATTTAGTGTGGTGCCCTTATATTCCTTCCTTTTTTGTTTTTTTCTTCCAGACAGTCTGAGGCAAAGACTTGACACTGAGTGCTCGTATCAACTGCACTCATAGCTCTCCTGTCCAGAGTTACTTTTTCAGAGGCAGGCATGGTATTCTATCACCCTGAAATTACAGCCTTCTGATTGTATGGAGTATTGTATTTTCCTATTATTTATCCTTTTGATTGTTTATAATGTTGCTAGTTTCTTTGTTCATTTTTCTTTTTCCTTTTCTTTTTGTTTAAACCAAAAAGGGTGAGATGTCGCCCTGAAAACTCAGCTTCTGAGCTTGCTGACATGGTTTTCTAAGGACTTTCCCAGGACAGTAACTGTAAACATAGATATGTGTACATTCCTTCTGTTACACGTCTTGTGATGGGCATTTCTCATGGCCAGTGCAGTGAGAAAGTGTTATCCTGACCATCCAATCCCTGGCTGTGGTCAGAAACCTATAAATCCTGGGAGGAAAAATAAATTTTCTCTTCTTTTCACCACACCTCGACCTGTGTCCGTGTGATCTATTCATCTTCAGCGGCAACAGTATTCATCAGAATGTGTTGAATCCATGGGGCAGATTAAGTGAGAAACATCTCCTGGTTTATTTGGAAAGTTGTGCAGGACATTTTTCTGAATCTGCAAATTTGGATGTACTTTATATAAAGAATGCTCTCAGCACCTGACTAGGAGGAGGTTTAACGGCCCATAAATGGGAGCGGTGCCCAGAAGATGAGACAGTTTTCCTGTCCCAAGGCTGGATGTACCCAAATGATTGATGAGCAGCCACAGTGAACAGCAAACTGAACACAAATCCTTATAGGAGAGTGATTTTGTCTCCTTATTGGTGGATGAAGTTATTTTAAAGCAGCTTGCTCATGAGATGGCTGTATCCAAGCTGTCTGACCAGCAGGATATGTGTGTCCAACTTTGCAATTACTTTGAGCATGAGGGATCATGCCTGAATGTCTGCATCACATTTCCTGTGTTGCTCTTGAATTGGTGACATGTGCTGGCTCTGGATGTGCCTTTTCTACCTTTTCTGGTAGCCACTACACTGTCCATCCTGCTCCACCCCTGGGAGTTACCAGGATTCCTGCCCTCCACTTCCAAATGAGTCCAAAATGTCTCCCAAACAGCAGCACACGGTGTGTGCTGGCATCTTGGTGAGCGCCTCAGCAAGGTAACACCAGCATCTGTCACTCCTGCAGCAATCACTTACAGTCTCCTTCTGGTCCCTTCTGGTGCCTCACACCCACCCATTGCCATTCCTTTCTCATTCCTACCAGTCTTCCCATTTCTATTACTATTGGAATATTCTTCTTTTGTTAGAAGACAGTTACATCTGTAAGAATTATTTTTCTGAATGAATTTCTAAGAGAGATTTTTTTATTTGCCAGCATTATGGACATTAGAAGGCAGGAAATGGTGTATTTTTTTTTTTAAATCAACTGCTTCAAGGAAGAAAATGAGAAATGCTTTTGAGAACAGCTTTCCGTTATATGAGAAAGCAGAAGCTCCATTCCTCATTCTCACACCATCTGTGTTTATTAACCCTAACTATTTTAAAAACAAAATATCTCTTACATCTTTCATGTAAGCCAGGGTAACAGAGTCCACATACCTATCAAAGCAAGTGCAGGAACCATATAGAAATGCAAGGTAAAAAAAATTATTTTATGATTATTTCTAAGCTCCACAGGCCTCAGAAAACTGCCTGAAACTTTTTACAGTTCATGTGTGTATGGAGCCAACCTGGACCAGTCCTTTGGTGCATCCAACCCAAAATCTTGTTTCCAGCTGTGGCTGTGACAGAATAGGCAAGAAAGACTGTAGAAATAGGACAGACACATACTGTTGCTTCCTTTCTGTATTCTCTTGGCCTATAATATTTTTCAGCATAGTTTATAAGTATTTAGCAAGACTTTAAGAATTTTTCTCCCAATAGTTTGTCTTTCAGCCAATTCTAGCATCTTCAACAGCCATTGGCAAAGGTTCTATAGGTGGACTACTCACTGCATGAAGGGCTGCTCCTCTTAATTCAAACCTCATCCTCTCATAATTTCTTTTGATGTTCCTGAGTTCTTCTACTTGGTTCTGCCAACAGGCATATTCATCTGGTTCCTGAGTCCAATTAATGGTCTTTGAATAACCAGTCAGTAATTATTAGATAGTAACTGGAGAATTAAAAAAAAAAATATCTCCCAACATCCTGGAGAAGCATGACCATAGGGTTATGCTCTACCTTTTATAGCCTGATTTGGGTCTTCCTGATACCTTGGTGTCAGCTCTGTTTTGAAAGTGCACTACGGGTGTGTCTCTGGGAAGGAGTATCAATATGGAAATCAGTACAAGCAGCAAAATTTATTTCCTTGGAAATAAATACTTTAGATCAGCTAGTTGTAAGTTGGGATTTTTTTCTCTATATACTTATTTTTCCCCATTATGTTAAGCTTGTATTTCTTTAGAGACCCTAGAAACATTTTTAGCTCCGATTTCTGTTATGTGCCATATCTGAAGTCTTAACTTGTTTCTCCAGCAGATAGTGTCCAGCATGGCACATGCATTTCCCACTCCAGTGAATGCATTATGATGCTGATATCCAGCAGGTAAGTGTTTCATTGGAGTGTATTTACCAATCATTCTTTAAAGGGAAGATATTTTTCCTTCTGGGGTTTTCAGGTGCTACATCTCATTCCATGTTTGTTGCCTATAAACTCAGAGTCAAAAAAAGATGTTTCTAGCATCAGCAATCGTTAATTCAGATCAATAGAAATTCTGAATGTGCATAAAACACTTCTTCAACCACAGAATCTCACATTGTTCAGTCCAAACTGCTCCTGCTTGGGGGTAAGTGATGGCTGCCAGGCAGAACACACCCCAAGCAGGAGTGTGGCAAGGACAGGTTGCAGGCTCAGCTCAGCCTGGGACAAGATCATTGGAAGGGCTTGAGAAAAATTGATGTTTATGTTGCATTCATATTTGAGGTGAGTGACTCCCCATGAGGACTTGCAGTGGCAGCCTGTGATATCCCTTCAGTGCTGGGCTCCTCTGGGTTTTGACTGACCCTCCCTCAGGACCAGCTGTGCTCCATCTCTGCTGGAAGGGTGGTTGCTGTCACTCCAGGTCTGGAGGAAATATCACGGAGAAGGAGAAAAGCAGGGCTTGGGGGAACACTAGTGATAAGGCAGAAGCAAAGACACCCCAACAGCTGGGTACCATTGACTTCCAACAGCTTGGAAGTTACCTTTTATTTAGACATTTAACAGACAGCAGGTAATTATCACTAAGGTCATAACCCAGCAGCAATATAACATGGATCACACTTGATGTAACACTTATTGTCAGAAAAACCCTGTGTACATAAGCCCACAAGATACCATGCATGGAGTAAGCATGAAAGATTGCTCCCCAGGTGGTGGTCCCAGGAAACTCTCCAAATTCTGTCAGTAAGTGATTTTTATTATTCAGATGCCATTCTTCCTTTCCCTGTAAACAATTTGATCTGGACGTCAACCATCAGGAAATGCTATGATGGAACAAATGCTCAGGGCTGTGCAGAGGCCATGACAGACTCTGCTCCTGGGGTGGCAGGACATGGGGCTACCCATATGGCTGCCTGTCACCAGAGTGAAGGGTGCACAGACCCCACAACTCCACTGGGCAGGACTCTTTAGTGTCCCTTTGCGGGACACACAGTTGTGTCCAGGACAGGCACTCATCCTCCACACTTGTTTTTGCTCGTTTTCCTCATGCTTGACTAGAAGCCTGTCTGTCCTGAGCAGGAGCAAGCCTCCATGCAGGTAGCCACTCAGTTCCTCTACAGGTTCAACTCTGCTGTGAAGGGCAGATGGACCTTAGGCCCTTCTAGGGAAGCAGGGTGGAAAATCAGAAGATCTATAGCAGCTTGTTTTCTCTTTTAAATATTACATGAGAACAAGTAACTCAGTGCAGTGATATCCTTGGGGTTAATAAGAAGTTAATACCAAGGCTGTATTACCTTTTTCATCTTCATTTCCAACCTTCAATTTGTAGTTGATTTATTTTTTTAAAATTTGCCTGGCAAAACACAGGCATGGACCAGAGATGCATCTGGGACTGCAGCGGGAATCAGGTAGGGATAGTGGGGCTTGGTATGTTATCTTCAGTTTCAAAACATTTTCTCAATTCCAAAGCTGGAAATATGTATTCTTTAAAAACACAGATTCTGTAGCGCAGAATCCATCTTCTGCAGCAAACCTCCTTACCAGGAAACTGTGAAGTATGTCACATCTCAGATTACTTAGTGGACAATCACTCCTTGAACTTTTAGACCACCTTCTATTGCCTCTAATATTAAGGCTCAGCCCAAGGTCATCACATTCAAACTAATTCCTTTTTAAGTGCACTGGATGGTGTCCTGCACATGAACTTCCCAAATGCTTTCTGTGTCAGTCCTAGCTTATACCAGCCTTTTCTGGATCATCCCTTCCCTTTGCTGGCACAAATGTCCGTACAACAGTGAGAGGATAGAGCAGCCACTAGAACAGGGTTTGAAAGAGAGGAAAAAATAAAAAAGGCTCGTTTTAATAAGGATCAGTTCACCAATCCTGTGCTTCATAATGTCAAGAGAGAGGGAAAAAAAAAATACAAACGGACAGTGAAAAGCAAATGATGCATAAAAGGACAACCTAAACTATAAATGCATGGACATGATCAGTTTCAGTCACTTGGCTTTAGACAATATAAAAATCTTCTTTAAGCTTTCAAGTATTTTTGTAGCTTTAAACCACTGGTTCTCCTCTCTCTGAAACAATCTGCAAAAATAGAGAATGACAACAGTGGCAGAAGAAAATGGGACCCGTACTCTGTGTATGGAGTGAGCAGCTCTCATCTGAGTGCCCAGCCTCATTCCTGGCTCCTTGAGCTGCCCAGGAGACCCTGGATAGCCAATATCTCATTTTATTTTCCTAATTTCCTGCAGCCTGTGAGACTAAAGTGGGACTCTGCTCTGTGCAAAAAAGCGAGAGTTTAGAGGCTGTGCCAGGTAATCCTGGGAGATGTGTGTCCTGGCTCAAACACACTGTTGGGCTCATTCCATTCTGAATTCCTGTCTTCAAGAGGACTCCCCAGGGGGATGAATTCTGACCTGCACCTCGCAGTGACAGAAGAAGAAAGCTCCAGCATTACCATCCAGCCCCTCAATCACAAGAGGCCCCCTGTGCATCATCCACTGCCTGGATTTCTTGTGGTGGGGGCATCAGGGACAGTGGCTCTAGGCCCACTGCAGGTACAGGTTAATCTTTGGTATCTGATTTTGACTATTTGATTGGAAACATAAAGAAGTACTAAGCTGTCACCTGCAAAGTGCCCTGGCCAAAAGGCCAAGGTTACCAATGCTACTAATACTGAATACAGGTGCTGCTGCTAGGAGCTGCTCCTTGTGGGTGCTGGCACTCAGGGAGCTGGGTTTTGTTCTTTCTGAGAGCTATCAGCAGAGATTCCTGCTGGCATTAGGCTATGAAACACAGCTGTGTGGAACTGCTGAGCAGAGCGTGGGAGGAAAGCCCCTTCTCAGGTGTGGGGTGCTCACGCCCAAAGCAGGGGTGTGGGAGTAGCCCATAAATAAACTGACCTTCAGTCTTGCACAGAGACCACAGGAGACCCCAGGCTGCTCTCAGGTTTCTGAGCAGGGCTATGCAGTCCTTTCCTCAGACCAACTGGAAAAATGACTGCAATGCGAATCTTCTGGAGCTGCGGAGTCCTACAACTCCAAAAGCAACATAAATTTGTCAAAGGTCCCAATCACTCTCTAAGTGTAAAGAAACAGGATAGGGGTACATGCAGGGGAAAGATAGAAATGTACTGCATGGCTGCTATTTTGGGATATGAATTTACCTTTTAATTAAAAACAAGGTCTTGAAGCTTAGGGAGAATCTGCACTTAGTTCTGGATCCTATTTCTTTGCTGCTCCTTTTATTTACAGAGTAAGTTGCTGAAAGCTGTTGTTATTTTAGACATGAATATTTTTTATTTGAGTGTTACTGCCTACCAGAGAGTTTGCTTTTTTATTTTTTTTTTAATGTTGGCTAATTTTGTGTTTTGAGTAGGAAGCTTCAACTTCACACCAGTTCTACACAGGCCCTTCTGCTATCCAGCAGTCTGGGCAAGATAAACCTGTAACCAAGACATTCCTCCCTTAACCTCTATGGCTTTATCATGATTTTATTATTGCTCACCTTACTGTGGACTTTGAAAAGATATGGGGAGTATCTCAAGTAGTTTAAAACTATTTAATCTTTTAAATATCTGGGATGCAGGCAAGTGTCCCTATATATTCACCCAGCCCCCAACTTTGCTTTTGCTTCGTAACTGCTGAATGAATTAGGGAGGGCAGGGCCAGGCCAGCTGCCTGCAGTGATCTTTGTGGGGAGCCAGCTTCCTCCTACCCCTCAAAATGCACTAACCACCTCTGGTCCCACACCAGATGCCTTCCCAAATCCTCAGTACCTGCCCAAAACAGCTGTGCTGTCTGTCCTGCATCACCCTATTCCTCACAGGAGAGGAGACCCCCATGGGCACCACCCCATCTTGCCCACATTTATGGTGGAATGGAGCACCCAGGCAGCATCAAGGCAGGAAAAGTCTCTGAAAAGCAGCAGAATTAGCAATGTCTTGCATGCCAAAGCAAGTCCTAAGGCAGGCAAAGCAGCAGCCAGGAAAGATAGAGACCCATTCCCAACATCCCACCTTGTCCATTCCTCCACCTCAACACAAGGTGGGAGGCAGTGGGCAGCTCCAGCGCCAGCACCCTCATCCTGCTCCATGGCTCATCCATCAGGAGCAAGGAGGAGGATTAGAGCTTGGCATCATCGTGGGCATCTGCCTGCCTGCCAGGCTTGCTCTTTAAAACAGGCTGTCAAACACAGATAGCTGTTGAATCAATATGTGCCTGATAGCTGTTGATGCCACTTCTGCCAGCACAGGGTGGGCTGAGCCACTGCACACCAGGAGGGATTCAGGCTCTGAGAGAGAGGATGCAGCGCTGACTCTTCAGTACCCACATCAGATGACTGTGAGAGAGCAGTCAAATAGGAAGACTTCAGTGATGGTGTCTCTGTGTTGCCGCTGCCAGTCCCCCCCTCCCAGTGCCAAACATGAATGTTTGCCAAGCACAGAGGAGACTGGATGTAATATGGTTGGTCAGTTCTTCAAATGAGATGTGAAAGCAAGGGCCTCCACTACCAGCCTCGACAAATCCTTTCCACATCCTGAACAGACTATGAAAATCAGCTGACATCCAGAATACTCTCTCCTCTTCCTCTAGGCAGCTTCTCATGCCCATCCCCAGGCTGCAAATTGCTGTAGATAATAGCTGTGACCATTCATCCAGACCATGGCTGCCTACCTGTGCTTGCGTGGAGGGCCCGGAGCTCGATGGTCCCACTGCAGAGGGGATGCCTGGCTATTTGGAGCTGGTGTACTTGGTGACAGCCTTGGTGCCCTCTGAGACGGCGTGCTTGGCCAGCTCTCCTGGGAGCAGCAGGCGCACGGCTGTCTGGATCTCCCGGGATGTGATGGTAGAACGCTTGTTGTAATGGGCCAGGCGGGAGGCTTCTCCAGCAATGCGCTCAAAGATGTCATTGACGAAGGAGTTCATGATGCCCATGGCCTTGGAGGAGATGCCAGTGTCAGGATGGACCTGCTTCAGCACCTTGTAGACATAGATGGAGTAGCTCTCTTTCCTGCTTTTGTGACGCTTTTTGTCACCCTTCTTCTGGGTCTTTGTCACGGCTTTCTTGGAGCCCTTTTTGGGGGCTGAGGTTGACTTTGCTGGCTCTGGCATCCTGAGACCTCTTCCGCTGTGTCTTGGAGCTGCTTGGAGAGAACATAAAAAAATTCTAATTATTTTTTGACCACCTACAGAATAATTATACTGCTGGAGGCAAGCAACAGCTCAGAATCTGAGACAGTTACCCCATGGCCCTGTGTGAGCATTTCTGAACTGCCAGCAAGAATTTCTCTGGTTTATGTATGGCTTTTTGTTGTTTTCTGTTTAAATACCTAAAACACTGGCCTTGTCAACATCTCTGAACACAAGTCTAATTGGCATCTACTTAGTAAATATGAGATGGAGCCTGAACATCTGTCTGAAAACACTGCAGTTCCAAAGAAAACTCTAACTTCAGCACGGATTAAATAAAATCTTGCTGAAATAGGCCCAAGACTGTTGCAAGGCATCACTGCAGCCACCTTTACATGAGACTGGTCAAAATTATTTTATGTGATTTACAATCTCCAATAAACCCTTTCTTATTTGCATGTAGATAGAAGTTTATTTTGAGGGTGCTTGCATTTCTGTAGCTATTTTTTGACACCATGCTTTCCAGTGAAATATAAAAAATTATATAGTTTTAAGCTAGCTGAGCTACAGGAATATATCAGTATTCACATCAGCTATCAAAAGATACCAGAGAGTAGAAAAGCTTAGAGGAGGTGGCAGGAATCACCTGGCCAAGAAACAGGAATGTGGATAGGAGTCAAAAAGCAAAGTGCTTTTGGGCTACACGTTGATGGAAAGGATTGTTTCCCGCTATTTGATGCTTTTTGCTTTTGAGAGAGCAAGCCTTTGCTGGACAGTTTACACCAAAGATGCCTGATCCTCCCTCTGAGTTTTTCTTCAATAGGTCACAACATGCAGAGCCATGACCTGCAGCTGGCTGCTTTCATCCAGAAGTGCAGTAACAAAAAAACAATATACAAACCCATCAAAAAACTGTGTGCCTCCCTTATACTACAGATTTACATGTGCTTTACTTCATGGACCAAGGGGAATAACTGTGTTGCAACCTGGTAAATTGTTTTGTGTTTCAGAGAATACTTCGAATGCTCCCTTCAAAGACAAGGCTCCTCCAGGTTTTGCTGGAGGAAAAGCTTACAGCATCACCCCAGGGCTTGGGTTTTAGTGCTCTGCATATCCTTTGAAGATGTCCTAGGAATTACAGTCTGCCGGCCAAGCCAGACTAGTAGAGAAAAAAAGAGCTTCAGGGCTGATGACACATGGGAAAACGGATAGAAGTAAACAGAAGAGAGAAAGCTGGGATGTAACATATGGTCTGCACACTGAGTATCAGAGAAGGACCTAAACAGTGCCTGTGCCAAGGCAATGGCTGCATGCTCAACCCTGCCCTTCCTCCTTGGGAAAGAGCGAGACGTCTGATTTCTTCACCTGCAATCAGAGCCAGATGCAGCAGCACCCATGCAGCCCAGTCTATACAAAGCTCCGGGCTGCTCCCTGTGGGAGGAGACATCTCTGACCCTGAGGCTGGCTTTAGTGCCCAGCCCCACCTGAGCTGACACCAGCTCCAGTTTCCGAAGGACACCGGACAGCGCCACATTTCGGCATGGCTACAAGGGCAGGCTGGCACTGCCGGGGAAAGGTCTCCTCCACAGCCCTCCAAAACACCCTCCTGGCTAGAAGCCAAAGTCAACAGTGTTCTTAGGTCTGGATTTCTGCATCAGAAAAGGTTTCTTCTCTGAAACCATGATTTTCATGTGCTAAGTTTTTCACTCTGCCACCTCATGTCCTTAATTTTTTCTAGCATTCTTCCTAGTGGTGGCATTTGGAAGGGCAAGTGCTGGACTACCCCAAAAGTTCTGGACGCTTTTTAAAACTGACACCTTTCCCTTAAACACCACATTTTCTTCCTCTGGTGAAATCACAAGTTTTCTTCCCTTTTTTTCTCTATTTGGGAAACAGCATTGGGAAAAGAAATCCCCTACTGCTCTGCTTGTAGACTTGAAAATATGTCTTTTCAACAGAAAATTATTTTTCTACAAGAAATAACTGTGCATTTGCTTCTTTTTCTTTTGAGCTCATTTTCTGCCTGGAAAACACCACAACTGAAAAATGCAAAGGAGTATTTCTTAAGCTTTTTGAAAAGTATGTCCTTCTAAAATATGTATTAATTCTTAAGTGCACTTCTACTGTAGCTTTTAAAAAACGAATAGAGAACCCAACAGGCACCAGAGTGATTTCATAGGGCTCCAGAACAGGTCACAGCTACTGGACATCTCCATTTGCTCAGCTAATGGCTTTGGGTAGCACAGCCTGGGTCTCACTCCTCTCCCATGTATAGCTGCAATGGGAGAAGCAATGATGCTGAAATTCAGAGATAAGCACAAAAACTTGTGCTTAACTCCACCCATTTCTTTGCAGCTGATTGTTTAACAGGTAAATTACACCTTCTTTGCAAACAGGTTGTGTTCTTTGTGGTTTATTTGGGCAGTGCCTAGCATGTAGAGTCTGAGTGCATTTGCCAGGTGCTAAATAAATAATGTTAACAATGGTCAACACTATCACCAATCCTTCTGTCAACAGTGCAACGCAACAGCACAGCAAGTGCTGCTCAGGTATAAAGAGAGAAGGAGTGGGATTATTCCCGAAGTGTCCATGTGGCAAGTTTTTTGTTTTGAGGAAAACAAAAAGGTGACCTTTAAAAGAATGGTTTATTTTTATAAAAGTAGTTCCATATCTTTGTTACCTTAAGGAAAAAAAAAGAGTTGGAGAGAGAACCTGAAGAGGTTAATAATTTTTTGTTTTTATTTTGCAAGTGTTGCTGGTATGATTGACTTCTCTGCTGTGAGGTAGACCAAGCATTGGATACAGGTTGCTCAGAGAGGTTGCAGGATCTCCATCCTTGGAGATACTCAAAATCGAACTGGACACAGTTCTGAGAAACCTACAGTGGCTGACTCTGCTCTGAGTATGGACTGGATGGATGTTTGCCAGAAGCACCTCCAACCACATCCATTCTGTGACCTTTGGAGACTGAAATTGGGTGGAACATACTTTATGAGCTGTGTTCCCTTGATTGTCAATTCCCATTGACATTGGGATACTGCTGCCCCAAGATTCCCACATGGAGCCTAAGAAGAGATGGTGTTCATTTCCAGGTCCAAGCCACTGAGGTCCCTGGGATACAGAGTATGGCCATGAAAGAGAATGCACTTTCAAGCAGCATATTTGGAAAGTTTCAGGTTTTTGAGGAAAATTCTGAGAACATTCTTTTCTTTATGTCTTTGTATGCTCTGAGTTAAATCAGTTATCAGTGCTGGCAGTTTTTTCCTTCCTCAGAAAACCAACAACAAAACCAACCACAGTAATTTTTCCAGCCAGTTCCAAGCAGCAGCCTGACTGCTGCCAGAAAGCAGAGCGGTGCAGAGTGACAGATACATCTTCCTTTGTGTTGACACTCCTTTCTTCAGCATCATTAAAAGGAAAGTGAACAGAAAAACATATTCAAAGATACAAATCACCAGAGTCTCTCAGATCTGAAATGGGAGACGAGCCCTGCTGAGAAATCCCACGTGGAACCTGATGCTGTCTCTTTTCCCCAGGCTTGATATATCAATGGAGAGAGACAAGCAGGGAAGCTCCTGCAAGATTATTGTTCATTTTTGGCCTTACTGCTGAGTCTGTAGAACCAGTGCCAAGCTGCTGCCAGCAGTGTGCATGGGTGATTGCGGGTGGACTATGAGCTGGCCTTCTGGACCTCTCCTCATGCAGGGCTGGAAACAGCACTTGGATTTTTTTTTTACTTTATTTTTTCTTTGGAAATCTGTCCTTGTAATGATGAGCTCTGGTGCATCCACTGTAAATCCCCATGCCCTTTCTGTAATTTCCTAGTCAACCATAAAAGTCACATTTCTAGAATCAGCATTTGTTTTTAGGAGGTTTTGTTGACAAATTAAACATTTGTAGGAAAAACTCAAGCTCTCATCTTCTTGACATCTGAAATTCTGACATTTGTTAATCTTCTGATGTTCTACTTTAATCCTTGCTAGAGCAAATGAGAACCAATGGGCACTTCTGCCCCTTAAATAGGAATGCTCTGTACAATTATTGCCCTTTTTCTCATTTTCTCATACTATATAAAAGAAAGAATACTTGGCTTTATTCCTGCATGCCAAGAAATACTAAACAAAAGTTGCTGCTGCTTTTTGTTTTATTTTCTTTGAAACACAAAGGGTAACAAATTAGGGAATGTTTCCACCAAAAGGAAAAGGCTTTCTAATGGATTCACCTGCTCTGAAATGCTTTTAAGATCTGGTAAATATAGTTTACAAATTACCTGGTGTCAACAAATGACTGTTATTTGAAAAGAGAATTTCTGCAAACTGCAAATCCCCTTCCTTTTATTATGTATGGCCATCTACTATTATAAAATAATTTGTTCATCTGTCAGGTGTCAATTTATAGTAATAATTGAGAAAACAGTGTTTGTGACTATTTGGTAGCAAGCTCTGCCTCAGGTATAAAGCAGATCAGAAGCATGATGAGTCATTGTGAGACACTGGTGATGCTGCCTTGTGCAAAAACTGATAGTCATATTTTGGTCTGGAAAGAATATGTCTCTTGGTATGTTGTCTAGCATGTGATGATGAGGTATTATTTGCTTTGAATAAAGAAGGAGGAGAATTTCCTAGAATAAGTTAAGCTAATCTGAAATGCCTGATTTCTTCCAATGGTGGAGGGGTGCAGAAAAGAGTTTTGAGATCCTAGGTTTCCTCCCAAGTAATCCAGTACCAGTATTAAAACCCCATTCTCAGTTCCACATGCTCTGCTACACTATATATCTCTGTTCTTGTAAAGTTTTCATTTAAATAGCTACCTTTCAAAGTTGGATATACACATGCAGTTTTCTAGTGAACACAGGACTGTGGCTATAGGTTAAAACTGAAGATGACACCTACTTACTGACAAAGAAAGAAATGCTACAAACTCAGTCTCTGACACAGACACACGATGCTCACACAGATCTTCAGATTTCTTTAGAACAAATTCAAGCAGAACAGAGCGCTGTGTCCGAGCTCTTTGACTGATATTCATCTTGCTTGTGTTAACCCATTTCTTGGGAGTTCTGCACAGAATACTACAGGAATCTTTTCTATTACTTTCTATAATTTCAATTTATGATTTTTAGAAAGCACATTTT